CTGGAATTTGATGGCTATAAAGCATCAGTGGGAAAATGGGAATAAGGCATTGAGGGGATTTAGAAGAGCAGAGGGGTCACAAGAGCGGGTTGGCTGAGCTGAGCAGAGGATAGGAAGGATCCTAGGAAGGATGTTTCCATCAGGAATAAGGTAGGATTCGTGGCTGCAGCACCAGGTGCTGGTGTGACCTTGCTGGGACACTGTGGTCACTTCAAGGGGACAATAAATTCAGATTTATGCAGTCACCAGCGTAAATACTGGGAGGGTATTTTATAAACTGAGCCTACAGAGCTTGGCTTGCTAAGCTGAGCAAAACGAGGCTGAAAGGGAGTACAAATCCTACAAACACATGGTTTATCCTAAAGAAAGACATCCAAATAAACCAAAGAATGACAAAAGCTGTTAAACTAAAGAACAGCATTATCACAAGGACAAGGAAGGGAAAATATCCAGGAATAACTTGGGTTGGAGATCAGGAGAGCCCCTGGAGGGAAAAGATTTGGGAACAAAAGAGCAGACCCCCATTTCAACACATACCTGGTGCTGTTCTCGCATCATTCAGGATGTCTTATGGCATCCTACAGCTGCTGAAATGCTGTAGATGAGGAAATACACCAATAAAATAATTATCCCTGGCTTGGGAGCAGCGCTATTCACAGGGTTGGGTTGACCCTAATAATCCTAATAATCCCCCCCTGCAATGGGGCACCTCCCTTGCCTACTGCTCCCCGTTGTCTCTGGGGTACAATCCTGAATACATGGACAGAGAAGCTCCCATAAAGTTTATTTTCTCATCCCACTATTCTTCTTTAAAAGTGAAATTGTTATATTTGCACTGCTATCATTAATTAAGGGCTTTTTCCTACCGGGAAAGCCTTTGGCGTTGTTTGAAATTCCAATTATTCAACTCAAAATGATGAAAAAAGCAAGGTGGGGGAAAAGCCAGGGCAGGTGCCTCCTTAATGAGCTGAAACGCAGGACCCGGCTGTACGGGCGCCAAGGGAAGTCATCTAAAATGAATGTCACACCTGGTTATAAATAGGGTGGCACAACGCAGTGACACGTCCCACGGCGATGGGTTAACCCTTTTCCATAAGCAGTCTGCAAAACAGAAATGATTCAAAAGTTTTGAGGAATGATTTTTGCTCTACTCTGTCTTGGGTTAGCAACTTAAAACCAAAGTAAGCGTTTATTTAAGGCTGAATAACCTTTGGACAGGGAAGACTGAAGATATTGCTCTCAGGATGGCAATTAAATGTTATATGTATAATGAGATAAGTGCAAATAGAGACTAACACAAAGAGGTAAGAGGCAAGAAATCCTTTATTGAAGGGGTAAAGGCAGAGTCACAAACAGACTTCTTTCCAAGTCAAAACCAAGTACAAACAAGAGGCTAAAAACTGGAAAATTATACTTTCAACCCCCTTAAAATGAAAGTCCAAAGCTTAATTTTGGTTGGATTTGTTATGCTTACAGAGCTCAGTCGGCGATCGCACCCCGATTTGGGGGCACCAGGGAGGAGGGAGACAGCGGTCACACACCAAAGTGGTTAAATGACAAGAAGAGATGACCCCGCTGCAGATTTCGGAGTGGGGACGAGGGAGCAGCATGTTAAAACACAGACAGTTTTTGTTTTAGTATTATTTTTTCAGTCTTTTCCCTCCTCTCCTTTCCAGACAGCTACTGTACAAAACCAAACAGAATTTTATAATAAATACCTAACACAAGAGGCTCAGTACATCGCTACAATCCTTCACTGAAGGGAAACATATATATACATATATATATCCTAAAATATAACCTCTTTGACTTAAATCAGCGTAAAGGCTACGTGTTTCTATGAGAAGGCAAGGGCAGGAGCCCCACTTAACATCACCTACACCCCAACACCTCGATTGATGGTCTCCCCATCCTCCTCCTCGCTGGAAAAGCAGCAGGATTTGCATTTGGGAAGGGAGTTTTGGTGTCTGGGAAGGGAGATTTTGCATCTAGGAAGCTCCAGCAAAGCGACCACGCAGTGAATATAAAAAATAAACCTGGAAGAGAGACCCTTGGCGTGCACGACTCCTGTGTGATAAGTACAGATGTTTTCCCTGGCAGCGTCTCAGGGTGAAATTTCTGACCCATCCTAAATGCTGGTTACGGTGCTGGAGAGGAAACACACGCTGGCCTTTTGAGTTCAACCCCTCGCAGACTCCAAGGGGAGAAGGAAAATAACCCGGCAAGGCTACATGACTTTAGCATCCAACTATTTGTTAGAGCAAGAGAGAAGGCTTAAATTCCTGGAGATTAATTAGCAGACAGAACATTGCCCGAAGGTAGGTCTGAATGCATCCAAACTCTGCAGCTGGCCTTTATTTTGTGTTTTTTTCTTTCCTTAAGAAAAAAAAAAAAAAAAGGAGCCAAGCCCTTTGTACCCACGATCCTTGGCTGTAGCTCCCTGCACCAGGTCCAAGCATCTGCATGTATCCCAGAAAAGCAGAGGTGAAGAGCCTGGGCTCATCCCTGCTGCGAGCTGAATTATCTCCAAAATTAAAGTAGAGCTGATAAAATGAGCATGCAGGGGACCAAAAGCAAAGGGTGGGAGAGGAAGGGCTGGCACATCCCAGCATCCGCTCCAGAGGAAGAACAGGGTATCACAACGAACCGAGTCTGCAACTGTGTTTGGAAACCCTACAGATACGCTTATTTTCCCTCTTCAATTACAACCTGCCTGCGGGCAACCAGCCAGAAAGAAAGGAAGAAAGCAAGAAAAAGAAGTGGTTCCTCCCCGTTTTGCTGCTGCTTTTCCCCGCTCTGAGGTAGACATCAATGGGGTGGGGATGAACCGCTGCACAGTGGTCATCCACAGGGCGAATGAGCCCGCAGCATCCTTGCCACCCTGCCCCGAGCCCATCTTGGCTCAGCACTGCCGTAGTGCACAGGCAGCGGTGTCTGGCGGTGGCCCCGGGGCGCTGCATTTCTCCGGGGCGATGATTTTACCGGCATAATCAATGCACGAGGCGTTGCGCGTCCGCACGCCATCGCCGCAGGTTTGGGAGCATGGGGACCAGGGACCCAGGCGCCAGAGCGGACAAGGGACATCGCCGCAGGGTTTGATGTCCTCGGGCTTGAGGGCTCTGTCGCAAGTGGAGGAGGTTTGACCCTCCACATCCCGGCAATCCACTGTCCGCCTCTGCCAGCCGGAGCCGCACGTCTTGGAGCACTCGGACCAGTCGCCTAGGACCCACTGGGAGGTCAGCATCGGTCGGATGACGTTGGCCGACTTCTTCTCTTTGCCTTTCTGCTTGGTGAAAGGGACGTCCTTGGGGATGAAGAAGGTGTACTTGACTTTCGGTGGGAAGACCTCGCTGGCGATGGTCAGCAGCTGGACGGTCAGGGGCTCCGGGAGCTGTCGGAAGCTCTGCAGCCTCTCCAGGGTCGTCATGGAGCCACTGTATTTCAGGATAGTCCCCTTGATGGGGATGTCCTGCTCCATGGCTGAGATAGCGAAGTCCCCGTTGAGCAGGTACTTGCCCTCCAGGGTCCTCAGGGCCAGGTAATTCCCATCGTGACGGACCCCGCGGTGGCTGCGCTGCTTGATGTCGATGTTGGTTGCTCCGGCGGGGATCGTGACAATGTCGTTGTAGCCATATCTGCACAGGGCAAAGGGACATGGTTACTTTCCTGACTTTATTTAGGAGATAACACTTGTCCGTGGTATCATGGCTCTGAAGCCGTGCCTCTGTAACCCAGAGCACTCAAGAGCTGGAAATGCTGCACTCATGACTTGATATCAACTCTAAAGCCTTTCCTAGAAGGGCACACCAGCAAAACCCTCCCTATATCCATGGGCACCCTGGGCTTATCTTTGGAAGGGTTCAGTACTCAAGCCCTCAGCACCCCGTGCTGTGGTAATTACTTGCTGCTGTAATTAAATCCCCATGGTTAACACTGCGGTCAGTAATTAGGTTTAGAGTATTTTGGAACAAAGCGTTTGGGTCAAACTCTGCTCCCTGTCACCCTGGCCTCCCTAACCCTGATCTTAATGGGATCTCTTCTTGGCTGTAGCTACCAGGCTAATCTCTCTTTAGTCAACCACAAACAATTCGTAGGAGAGTGGAAGCCCCGTTTCAGCTATTTCTTTGGAAGAAAAACCATTTAGGAAATCTAATTTGACTGTGTGAGTCACCTCGCCGCATGGAATTGGACGCGTTGGGCTTTTGTTATGATCTTTTCAACAAAAGCCTTAAATTCAGCTCTTTGGCAAAGCAACGGGGATCTTGGGTAAGAGAAGCCTTGTCCCAGGACTGAAATTCACCCCCAGGCCCAGGGAAAAGCTATTGCACTGTTTATATCCCGCATCAGCCCTTAAATATGTGTATAACTCACTGCACTGGGGTGGGATGCACATTGTATTTCCTAAAATGCATGTGGCTTACTTGGATCGGTTGAGCGAGCCGGATATTTTCCTGCAGGTCGAGCCATTGCCACCACACACCCCGCATTTGTCCAGCTTTTTGGAGGACCCAACGATGTGGTCACAGCCAGCCTTGATGCATTGGCCATGGACACAGATGGAGAGGGTCTCGGGTCCACACAGAGTCCCATCAATCACCTAGGAAAAGATGGATGTAAAGGAGCATTAGGGCATTTAATTTGGGGAGGGTTAGATTGGATACGAGGAAAAATTTCTTTATGGAAAGAGCGGTCAAGCATTGGAAGGGGCTGCCCAGGGAAGTGGTGGAGTCACCATCCCTGGAGTGGTACAAAAACCCCATCGATGTGGCACTTCTAGACATGGTTGTGTTGGGTTGACAGTTGGACTTGATGATATTAGAGGTCTTTTCCAACTTTCTGTGATCTGAAATAGGGTAAAGAGGCGTGATTATCATCCCCAAGTGTCTTACTTTGGCCTCAAAGACTTTAAATTCACTCCTCCCTCTGGCTCGGCAAAAGAGCTTGCATCGGTCTCGGGGGGACACTCCTGCGTACTTGGGAACCCACTCCAGGCGATTCCCTTCCAGATCCGTAAAGTTGTAGCTGTTGTACTTCTCGCACTGCTGCTCCCGAAAGCTTTTCCCTGAAAGGAAAAGCAAAACATGACCCAAAATCTGTGGGAAGCCATCAGGAACCAACATCCCTTCTGCAGGAGCAAGCCAAGGATAGCGGGAATGCATGAGGAGGGATGCATGCATGTCCCACCCGGCCAGAGAGGACCACAACCCCCAGCAGAAAGCTATTTACCCCCCCAAAAATATGAATATTCAAGGAAGAGTGGAGCAAATCCTGGAGAAATAGGGGAGGGAGGGGAATGTGCATATGGGAATTTCACCCTTGGGCTTTGCGAAGCCGGGCTCACCGTCGGGCGGGCACTCGTCGGTGTGGCAGGACTGGTACTTGGTGCGCTGGCCCTCGCAGTAGCTGCCGCCGTGCTGGGGGTTGGGGCTGTCGCCGGGGCGGGGGGGGGGAGGGGGACCACCCC